TTTTAATAGAATTCCAATTCTCAGATTCGCTGTTTTCATAGATTTTATAGATCTATAAAATCTATAAAACTAACAAAAACGGCGGATCTGAGAATTGGAATTCTATTAAAATCTATGAAATCTATAAAACCTATAAAACTTTTAAAATCTGTTAATTTTTTATAGGTTTTATAGGTTTTATAGATCTATAAAATCTATAAAACCTCCCGTGGTTGTGAAACCTTGTGCATTTTTACAAGGCAAAACCAATTATCACATTATACATATTAGTCCTTCTTACATAGGGGTTATATAGGGGTTACATAGGGGTTATATGGGGTTATATGGGGTTCTATTAGGATAATGGAAAAGAGAATGGAACTTACAATATTCTATTAGGGTATATATATAGGGAAACCTTTTGCTCTTTGGCACGCCCAAGGCCGCCAATGCTGATTGGCGAGGCACGCAGATGCACAGACAGGGCTCTTGCATGCGACTGTGTAAATCCTATAGGGTTCACGCAGTTACTGTACGAAGCGAAGTGCTCCCGCCAACCAGCATGTTCCCTTTGTAATGCTTATGTATCCTGTATCCCTTTAGAGTGTCCAAAGGACGCTTTAACTTCAATTCCCGTGAGAGGTCCCAAAAGAGTACCGTGTTTTGAGCAGCTCTTATCTGAGCTATAGTCGAAACTCCTAGTATCCCCCTTAATAACCCTCTAATTTTCCCCTATATTATCCCCTATATAACCCCCTTTAAGGACTTTAGACGATAGTTTATCTGTTCTCAGGCTACGGATGTGGAGGTGCCTCCGCACGTCCAGGACCTTCCCATCTAGATGTTTCCGTGTGTGTTGTCGTGTCTATTGACACGGAAACCTTGATCTTGACGCATGGCAGCTGCATGTGGTTGAATTGATGGCTTTGCAGGAACTTGGCGGATTTCCTTTACCCTACACGGGTTCTATAGGGATTATAGGCTATATATTGGGTCTATATAGGGATAATCAATGGAAAAGAAAATGGAAACTACTACTTTTAAGCGCTAAACCCTGAACCCTAAACCTTATGGTTGATTAGAGAACTACGGGCCCCCCACGGGCATAGGTTCGCCAATTTTTGGGGTGAGCTAGGACACCATGTACTTGCAAGGTGCATCTTGCGAGGCTTGAGTGTGTAAGACTGGTGCAAGACATAGGCTATAGTCTAAACTCATTAAAGAGGGCTATATAGGGGATTATATAGTATCAGGGAGTATTCTGGGAGTTATGAAAGGGGATGCTAGGAATTTCGACAATGGCTCACATAGGCTTCAGGCAGGTTAGGGCTTCAAGGCCTGTTTACCTAAACTGCTTACTTTCCTGTTTGGATCCTGGAGACTGGGTAGCTGTGGTGGTTGGTAGTGTGGTCGTATGAAGCACTGTTACTCATGCTGCTCTCTCCGTTCCTTACAAGTCTGGGTGAAAATGCCATTGTCTGTGCCTTGCTTTATTTTTTGTTCTTGCGCGTACGACCGATTTAGATTTGTCATTCTGTTTCGCGTTTGGAAAAAAGTTGAAGCCGCGAGGGCCTCCATGAAGCACCCATTGCATGTTGCCGTTGATGCCTTTGCTGTCAAGTGGTTGGCAAGTGTTGCAAAGAGTTGCAGATGTAATTAGCAAGAGAATGCAATTGCTCTCACACCATGCAGCTTCAGAGGATGTTTCTAGCCACGCAGACAGAGAAACCCTTTGGCGTGTTTCACCCAAGCAGCTCCGCAGCCGCAGGCAGCGCAAGAGGAACGCAAACATTTCGGGTCCTGCTCGAAACTCTCGAAATTCATATGGTGTGCTGCTCGAAATTCGAGTGGGTTGCTCGGAATTGCACCCTTCTGCTCGAAACTCCTTTCTTGGGGAAGATGATGTCTGCTCGGGATTCGGGTGTTTTGCTCGGGATTCGGGTTGGTTGCTCGGAATTGCGCCCCTGCGCTCGAAACGCTCGAAATTCGTTGCTGTCTCTGGGCTTTTCGGCTCGTTTCGCATTCAGCTTCCGGCATTTTCTGATGTCCTTAGGCTTTTGAAGAAAACGGCTCGAAAATCCTGCGGATCTTCATTCTCAAAGGCTTTTGGTTTTTGGCAAGTATTTTGAGTCACATTGGCAGCATATTGGCATTCATGGCAAGTCGTGGCATTTGCGGTGAGTCCTTTGATCATTTGATGCAAGCACAATGCAGATTGATCAAACTTGATGCGGACTTCATAGTTTTAAGCATTTTTGCTACCAGCGTGCTCTAGATGCATTGTGAATTTTGATGCTCATTTTGCGCAGCTCTTGGAAGGCTCTTGGGAAAGCTACAGGAATTGCTCTTGGCTTTTTCTGGCTTTAATTGTTGAAATTCAAATGAGGTCCAAGGCCCGAAGTGGACCCAAGCTTCAGGTTCGGCTTGGAGTTTGAAGCTTCGAGTTGGCAAAAGGTGAAGCAAGGGCCGCTGGCCATGAAGCATCCAGGATGAGATTCTCAAGCCCAGGAATGCTCCTATTTGGGCTGTTGGCTCACCCGCTGCCACATGCACAGACACAGGAACCCGAAAGGAAAGTTAGCAACCTAAACATACCAGGAGGACTTTGCCCATCCGCACCTGACTCAAGCAGAGCTGATCACATTTCCCCGTCTCTAAGAGCTTCATCCGTACACTCCTTAAACCCCAGCGCCAATTATGTTCAATAACATACAAGAATTTATTCGAATATATTATAGTATGTTGTACTATACTATACTGGACTCTACCATAATATACTATGATGTAGAAGATCCCGGAGGCCGGAAGAACGTCCCAAACCCAACCCACAAATCCAGGAATCGCCTGACCCGTTATCCCAAGGGTACATATTGCGGTTATATAGGGATAATGGAAAAGAAAATGGAAACTACTATAGTATAGTGGGGTAGTAGTTAATTCTAGTATATTGGGGTATAATATAGTAAATTATAGTTCATTGGGGTATAATATAGTAAGTTATTGTTTATTGGGGTATAAGATAGTAAATTGTTGTATACTACCAAGCCCTGAAGCCCCAACCTTCACCTTGACCGCTATGCTTCAGGCGGGGTGGAGGGTGACAAGGTAGATGGACGAATTCCTGCATGCCTAGATTCTGAGAAGTATGGTAGTACAATAGACTTCAGGGATTATAGGGTATATATTGGCTCTATACACGGACAATTGAAGGGAAAACGGAAACTACTGAGGCTATGGCACTGAAAAATTGTATACTTTGTTGGGTCATGCTGGATCTTGTCTATCAACCCTAGACGCCAAAGCGTATGGGGGTAGCATAGGATCCTGTGAGCAAAGCCCCGCAGGACTTCAGGGCCATTCGCCAGGAGCTTCTTCGACGCGGTCTTTTCGAGACGGACGGCCCAGGGGCTTTAGAGGCTTAGAGGGGCTCAGAGGCCTAGTCCCTGTATAGTCCCCCCGATGTTTGGGGTTCAGGGTTAGTTCCCTGCATAGTCCCCCCCATAAATGATACAATGCCTCAATCCCGCATTCTCAACTATGTATGGGTAAGCTTCAGGCATCTCGTCAGTCAAACCTGCCTCTGGTTAACGGGGTTATTATGGTGTGTTATATAGGAGCCTTTAAGGGCCTAGTATGGGGGCTATGTAAGGGTTATTATGGGGTGTTCTATAGGATTTTCTGTAAGGGCTTAGTATGGGGGTTACATAGGGTATTATTTTGGGGGGTTATACAGGAAGGAACGAATGGACAAGCAATGACATCTACTATGTTATCGGGGATTATATCTCGGGACCCACTTTGCGGATCTATTCCCTCATTTCTTGCTAGCCAGAGGTAAGCCAAGAGCCCTAAGATGAATCGCAAGCATGTAGCGGTTTCAACAACATGCCTGACATGAGCTATAGTTTGAATTCCTTAAAGGGGGTTATATGGGGGATTATTTAGGGAACTACTATAGGGGTTATAAAGGGGGATACTAGGAGTTTAGACTACGGCTCACCTAGTCCCTAGTTACATATAGAAGATTCGTCCTTACAACCGTGAAATCTGGGTATGCGACTAAGGCTGGCACTGCTTCCATATCCATATGGGATCCCAGCTATTCCATAGGGCGCAGATTGAGGGTTTAGGGTTCCTTTGGGAATGATATCGTGCTCCCCTTGCCATTAACGACCCAAATGTTTCGAAGGCAGTGTGCAAGGAATATTCATGAAGCAAAGCTTTCGGCTGGTTAATTCGTTGCTCAGACTGTACGGTGAATCGAATGGTTTCACCGTCTACATGTTGCCTTCAAGAGTGCCTTCTGTTTTGAAAAGCACGCCCTGTTCTGCAATTATTGCGCTGGCTGATTGCACTGTAGCTTCAGCTTGTGCTTTGTTGTTTCCTGATCATGAGTGTGTCGCTCCGCCGCGCCACTTCCAGTCTTGTGAGACTTACGCCTGTATTAGCTTTTGGAACTCTACTCAACATCTTCAGTGTTCATGCTGAGGCACAAGCTACTTTTGTTTGAGTTTGCGAGCAGAAGTTCAACAAAATTTTCTTCCGAAATTGAGGGAGCACCAAGCAAGTTTCGTGTAAGTAAACAGCTAATTGAACCTCATCCATGCTGGGACAAATGTCTCCGTGATACCTTTTGTCGTTCTCCGTTCGCTTTATTTGGGTTGCAAGCAGCTTGGACAGGTGACTTGTTAGCTGACACCCGCTGTGTTTTGCAGGGAACTGTATTTCGCTATCCTTTGTAAAGCCCACGGCTGCTCGGGCGTGCCTGCATCTTGCTGCACGTGTCGGGAGCTACACGCTGAACTGCAAACATGGTCACTCAGGGCATTGCATTGCAAATTCAAGCCCTGAACACTTGGCAAGTGATCTGCCAATTGAGTTTTATGTTGTATTCCACCTGCTAGGAGATACGGGTCGATTCAGCTTGTCTCAAGCTCCTCATGTTTACACAGGCCACTTGCAACCATACCATCGAGCCTGGACCCTCTGTGAAGCCCGAGAACAACTGAATTGAAGAAAACCTGCACACAAAAATTGAGCAGAACTTTACTAAACAATTGAGGGAAAACAATTTCCCCCAATTGTTTAAACATTGAGCATGATTTCATACCACCAGGTTTCCTGCTGCAAGGTTTTGAAGGGTCCTTCGTAAAGGGCTCTTATTGTTTCTGCTGTTATTTCCAAATCGCTGACATTGTCATGGCTTCTTCGTGGCACAGGACAACCCTAAACCCCAAGCCCTAAATTGTAGTTTCCATGTTCTTTTCCATTATCCCTATACAACCCCAATAATATACCCGTTATGGCTTCTTTCTGGCACAGGACATGCGCTTCTATGCCAAAATGGCGGCATGGCCACTTCCTAAGCTTCGATTGGCTCTTCAGGCGCACAACGGTCAGGAGTTAAATCTGGGTTCACAGGCCCTACATAGACCGACATATTTCTACCATAAACATTGGGTGAGCTTAAAGAATTCTAACGGGTCTGGGACGCTGGACCCTGGGCGTTACAGTTTCAAATGTTCCTAAACTTAAAGTTCAAAAGGATCCAAGACATTCAGCAGCCGCCAAAGACCCCAGCAACATGCCAGGGACATCTGCGATGCGTTTGCTCCGACCATTTGGCAGTAGAACAATTATGATCATGCTGAAGCTGAGGCTCGTGTCGCTGTTCCTCCTGTCGTTGTACCTCTCCCTAGGCCAGCAGGTTCAAACAGCTTCGTGGCCATATATGGCCATCATGGCAACATAAGCCTTTGGGTTTGGGTAGACTATGTTGATCACATTGCCCATGCTGTGGCAAACGTGTGTTTTTATTGAAGCTGCACGCAATTCAACCGTCAGGCTGCGCTTCCGGAAAAGCACACCTGGCGGGCGCAGCGGTATCATGCTCAGATGGACTGAGCCGTTTGTGAAGCTTGGAGATGCTGGGCGACCATTCACATTCTCGTTATTCTCGGGCAGATTGAGACCAGGGCTAGCAGTCATGCATGGGAAGGGCATAGCGCAAGATTGTGTGAACAGCGTGGTCAGGGTCTGATTTCTGGACGGGTCGGTGGCGTGGTCGAGCCAAATGTTCAAGCACAGGAGGCATCCTTTCTAGTCTGCTAGGCAGCCATGGGCTAGTGACGGCCAGCTGCTAGGAAGTCTTAACACTTTACTACTCCATTGTCGCAGTTTGCCACAGGACTTCTGCAGGGTCCAAGTCCTGAAGTGAGGTTCTCAGATAGGCCAGTGACACTCCAAGGTCATGGGCTTGTTCTGGCAGCAATTGGCTGGAATTGGCCACGACCAGGGCCACAGCGGTATCACCCACAAATTCCACGTAGAGCCTTGACGTTTGCACTGGGGGACTTCTCCCAGCAATTGAAGCTGGTGAGTATGCGGCGTACAGGCGGCTATTTGTGTTTGGGTGTCTGAGCTGTAGGGATAACCCTCAGCCCCCCCGAACTACCCACCCTTGATTGATGTGTAGCATTATGTAGCCAGTTGTTGTGTACTCAAGGGGTTTGCGTTTTGTGGTTTCACCTTGGTGCCCCATACTCAGGACCACCAGATCTGCTCGATGCTCGTGTGCTTCATGGGCATCTCTGTTTGCTGGTGGAAGCGCAACCACAACACGCACCACATAGTCTGCAATTCAATCGAGTACCTTTGGCGACAACTGGTGTCTGGGGATGGCCGTGAAAGGTCCGCAAATTACACCCCAGCTAGTGCTTTGCGCAACAGGGCCTTTGCATGTGCGCAGGGTACGGTGTAGTGCATCGGAGGCATGACCCGGACATTCAGCACATGCCAGCTTTGGCAGTGACGCCGGAGATCTTCAAGAAGCCGTTTCTTGCCGAAGGAAATCTGATTCATGACAGAGTGCTGAGTGGCTTGAACTTCCGACCAAAGTAGAAGTTGATAGACTGGGGCCACTGGCGTCGTCTTCTGTCCCATTGTTGTCTAGAGAAGGCGCGTTCTTTTCGACATGCAATAGATCGGGGTGGCAAGGCTGCCTCAATACCCTCCGCCTCTTGTCCTGGGGATGTCTGAAAATTTTGGGTCCCACTTCTGTATGAACCTAATTTGGACGAACTACGTTGAACTGTTGGAGGTGGAATATAATGGGGCCCTGATTTTGACAAACCTCGCATTCCTATGTATGGGGGTAAGATTAGCAGGCGCCCAGGTCAAGAGCATCCCTTCCTTTACCACCAAGCTCGAAACCTTACATCGAGTCCTTTTTGTGGGAGTTTCAAAACATCATACTGTCTCCTGACCCTCGCCCTGCACACAGCCCTGCCAGGCCATCTCTATTGAAGCGCAAGCTAATGCTACGTCCTAAGACTTCACCCCGTTTATCCAGAGACTTCGTGAACAACTGAAGTTCCCAACTTCCAAGCCCGAAGCCCTTCAATCCAAGGCCCTGCGACTACACCCTTGCTCGAGAGAGTAATCTTGCAGATAAGGATACTGTGGGATTGTATGCTTTTCTTGGTTATGGTATTTTGCAAGAAGAACATCATTCAAAACCCTGCAACCCTAACCGCTACCCTAAGCCCTAAACCCGCAAACCCTTGCAGCTTACCAGGAGGGAAGAGGTGAACTAAAACCAAAGCCCTATGCATCCCACAAAATGCGCCTGGGATCCTGATATACCTACGATACATCCTATATGTACCATTCAGGGCCCCTGGAATCCCCCTGCAATTCCTAAGAGCCTATACGGTAATTTCCCAAAATAGGGGGACCCCAATATAGACCCAAAATATTATAATGCTTAATATTGGGACCCCCAAAATGGTACCCCTAATTTTGGGAAACCCCCATACTACCGTATGCCA